TGCCCAACACGAGGGGAGCGTGGAGTCTGGTGCAGGGAACTGGAGAGACCCTAGAGGTCATCCAGTCCAACCCCCGTCTGTGGCTTTACCTCTTTGGTTATGCCCAACACGAGGTGAGCGTGGAGTCTGGCGCAGGGAACTGGAGAGACCCTAGAGGTCATCCAGTCCAACCCCCGTCTGTGACTTTACCTCTTTGGTTGTGCCCAACACGAGGTGAGCGTGGAGTCTGGTGCAGGGAACTGGAGAGACCCTAGAGGTCATCCAGTCCAACCCCCGTCTGTGGCTTTACCTCTTCGGTTGTGCCCAACACGAGGTGAGCGTGGAGTCTGGCGCAGGGAACTGGAGAGACCCTACAGGTCATCCAGTCCAACCCCTGTCTGTGACTGCCTCTTTTGTGTGCCTACCACGAGGCGGCGAGCCTGGCGTCTGGTGCAGAGGGACCCTAGAGGTCATCTAGCCCAAGCCCCTTCAAGGTCCCTCCCCGCTGGGAGATTCACCTCTGCAGCTGAGTGCCGGCCTCGGCCTCCAGCTGAGCCCAGAGCCCCTTCGCTTCGGCCATCAGCTCCAGGTAGACGTCCTGCGGGTAGGCGCTGCGGGCGATCCGGCTTTGGCCGTGGGAGCTTCCTCGGGTGTGGGGCAGCGGGAACTGCGGGGACAAGGAGCGAGGGTCGGCTCCGGACACTCTCCGGAGTGGGGGTGGGGTAGGTAGGGTCCAGAGGGGCTTCCTCTGCTCCGTAGCCCCCCCTGGGCTTGCAAACCCAGCCTTCAACTCCTTCTCTCTCTCTCTCTCTCTCTCCTCCCTTCTCCTCCCCAGGTAGAAGCCCGTCCGGGCAGCGCCGCCGCTATACCTGCTCCAGCAGGAGCGTCTTCAGCCGCCGGCGGGCCAGGTGGTAGGCAGCGCAGGAGCCCTGGATCCCGGCGCCCAGCACCAGGGCGTCGAAGAGCTGCTTGTCCCCCTCGGCAGCCATGGCGCCGCGGGCCCTCCGTCCCCGGGGACGGGGAGGCAGAGTCCAGCTGGCTTGGCCGCCAGCCCGGGTCCGCCCTTCGGAGTGGTAGCTGCGCAGCTCCCCCTCGCCCTCCCGGGCCGGTGGATTGCAGGGGCCGAAGAAGCCAGGCCCTGGAAAGGGGCTTTTTTATTATTTGACCCCCCAAAAATAGACAGTGTACACAGCAAACGAGAGAACTAGGTGTCAAATAATAAAAATGCCTCCTTTCTGGAGCCCCAGGTTCCTTTCCAGGGTATTATTTGTTTGTTTGTCTGTTTGTTTGTTTATTATTTATTATTTATTTATTATTTAATTACTATGTAATTATTATTTAATATTATTATTACTATTATTACTATTACTATTATTAATTTTCATTCATAAACATTTTTTAATAACAGTGCATTGGCAGAGTATTGTTTACAAATAAAACATGGCCAGCATATGTTGATAATATATCTCAACATACGAACTAATAGCAACAGTAATGATCGGCTGGGTCTTCTTTGGTTGCCCTGTCCAGGAGAACGGAGCTGGAAAGCAGGTTAGGGGGGTGGGGAGGGAAGAAGGGGGATTTTGTGGTATATCCTTCCCCTGCCACGCCCACCAAGCCACGCCCACAGAACAACACGTCCCCCAAGCCACACCCACAGCAGTACTAATAGTATAACCCAGGGGTCCCTAAACTTGGCAAATTTAAGACTTGTAGACTTTAACTCCCAAAATTCTCCAGCCAGCCACAAGTCTTAAAGTTGCCAAGTTTAGGGACCCCTGGGTTATACTATTAGTACTGTTACTATACCATTACTATATCTATCATTATCTATCCATGTATTCTCTCTAGCTATCTCCCTATCATCTATCTATCTATCTATCTATCTATCTATCTATCTATCTATCTATC